TGTTGTCGCCCTGTTGATGACATCAGCGACGCGGTTTAATCAGGTGCGCTTTAGTCGAGCGCGGTTTTGTCGTGCCACGGTCCATCCATCCTCAACTCAGAATAAATGTCTGTTTGAAATGGAGAGTCGTCTGGTGTCAGGAGTGAAGTATCCCCCTTTTACAGGGCAGTGTGCTCCTGTGTTGGGAACCATAGGAAAGGCCTGGCTACATTCTGCCAATGTCCCTTTCACATTTCATCGTGATGGGACCTTGACCCAACCCGCTCTTGATGCTTTTACAAGGTGGGCAGGTGATAGCTAAAGTCCTTTGATATCACATTGCCAAGACTTTATAGGTAATAAACAGCTTATGAATTGGATCTGGAAGATCTTTGACAATCAGTACAGAACTGGGGTTTTCAAACACTAGTTGAGAAATATACTGCCAAGGATTCCAAGTAATACATCCATAGAGAACAGAACTCCGAGGCAGGTAGATTCCTCAAATAATAGTTTTATTGGATTTATCATATTGGCACAGGCTGGTGTAAACCAACTCTGGATGTTTCCATGTTTTTCACCTAATTAAAAGTAAAAGTTTTGTCCCTTCCCCAAACAATCAGTCACATGGTTCAATCAAGGTGTGTGCAGTTGCCTGGTAACTTCACTCCTCCTCTTTCCGACCACCTGTGGGAATGTCCTTGGTTCTCTGGAGAAGGGATTTTGTTTTGTCTACAAAACCTTAGCTATCTCTATTCCCCCCTCCCTATCCCTCAGCTCCAGTGTGACAACCTTGAAATCTCAAAATGGCCTTAGTCAGTTCAGTTTAGGGTTGACATATATTTTACCTGATCCTACTGTGAATTTACTGTATGGATTAAGTAACCATCATGTGGTCTACTTGGGACTTTGGCTTCAACCAGCAGAAATTTCTGTAGATGTTTAGATTTTTTTAAAAATTAAATATTCTGAGTTCAGTGTTGAAAGGGCATTCCATGATCTGCCATGGTTTTCTTCCAATCAACTGAACAAAATCTCAATGCCTCCTCTTGGGGATAGATATCATATCAACTTTGCTGGGAACAATCACAAAGTTAGGTTTATGCCTCTCTTTGGAAGGAGAAAAGTATTATAGACATTGCTGTCTTTCTTCCCAAAAATACATATGTAAATGAGTGAATCTAATTGTACTGTTGGCTTCTCTTTGAGATCTTCGCTACGCATAAGAGGTCTTCCCTCCCACCCAATTCTTACTGCCCTGCTGTATTATTAGAAATTAAGACTTTTAGCACAACAAGGAACGTTGTCACTTTTCTCATCTCGTTAGGAATCTGTGGGTTTAAAAAACCTGACTTCTAATAGCAAGTCATGGATGGTTTGGGGACAAATAAATCAGGAAGTGAGACAAGAACTTTTATTATCTCTATTACAAAGGAACAGAACAGGAACAGGAAACTTCTGACCTCAGCAGATACAATAAAATTCAGTGTCATCTAGTGGCTAGGCAATAGAGTGGCCAGTCTCTTGCTTTCACAGACATGTTAGGTTTATAGGTTATAGGTTTATTTCATTTATATGCCGCCCTATTCCCGGAGGGACTCAGGGCGGCTAACAAACCCAGGGGAGGGAGTAATACAAACAAGGCAAAAACAACAAACAGGATACAGAGAGAAATTTAAAAACAATCAACAGTCACACAATTCGAGCGGGGAAGGGAACTCGTCAACCCCAGGCCTGTCGGAACAGCCAGGTTTTAACGGCTTTACGGAAAGCCTGAAGGGAGGTTTGTAAGTTGAGGACTACCTATGTCAATGAGCCCATTTAAATAAATTTTTTTCTGTATCCTATTTGTTGTTTTTGCCTTGTCTGTATTACTCCCTCCCCTGGGTTTGTTAGCCGCCCTGAGTCCCTCCGGGAATAGGGCAGCATATAAATGAAATAAACCTATAACCT